TTTTTTTTTAATAAAAAATAGCATCTTTTACCATTAACTTTATTATTGTATATAATTACATTTACAGTATACATTGGTATTTTTACAATTTAGAATATGATTTAAAACTAATTTATTCTCAGATGCAGACCACCAATATATCCTAATCCCGTACTATTATTTATATTTTGGATTTTTCTATACTAGGGCTATAATTGTCTTTGATCTATATTGTATTTCCGCATCTCTTATACCTGAAGCTGCTTGAACTGAAATCTCGTTCTATTATAGAATCGTAAAGTATTTGCATGTAATTCTTTACAAGTCTGTGAAGACCCAATATCTAATATTTGGAAATTCTTTGCGCTAGGTGAACGAAGTATGGTAATTAAATCATATTCTTTAATAGATGTATTGATATTTCTGCCATTATAAAGGTTAAGAGTTTCCAATTGAAAGCATTTAGAAATAAGAGATGAAATAGCATTTGATGAAATATTTTTGCATTTGGCCAATGATAAATTTGATAATTTGGTTGGAATATTTATTTTGGCTAAAAAGTTTAACGTTAAATCGCTGATAGAATAACCACCCAAATTAGAGATGTGTAAGATTTGGAGAATGAGCAAGAGGTATAATAATTGAGTATTCAGAAATTACTGGACACTCATGAAATGAAAGTCTTTGTAAATGAGATAATAAAGGTTTGCAAGTCATGCGAAAAGAAATTGTTGTCTCATAATCATCATCATTGTGATGTTCTATTTTAACGCGACCAATTAAGTCAGAGAATTCGCTTAAAGCGTTACTAAATTGTTTACTAGTGCATCCGCAGAAATCTGCTTTTACATTCTAAAAATACCAATGATTTAGTTAGATGATTCACATTCATTGGAGATTACAAAAAGTTTTCTTTTGGTTTGTGGTGTGAACTTGGATTTATATTCTCGTGGCTTTACAGCCTTATTAGGTAATCGCGGTAACGAAGCCTTTAAGTCATAGTTAAAAACCGTTGGCTGTCGGTTTAACAATAACTGAATCCACATTCCACTTGCACACACAGTTTCTCGTAAGTATGTTGTTAACATTAATGTGTTTTCTAGATTCGTTTCCCTGTCCATGCTTAATAGATCAAATGATAATACTTCATCATAAACGTATATTAACGTTGCGTCTTTTTGATTGTATACAGGTGCCAATGTATTCAAATGAATATT